GCAGGATTCCCGGAGGGGCGACTGGTGCGGGCGCTGGGGTGGGGGCGCCCCGGGAGAGGTGGATCCCGGAGTCGGCGGCCGCCGGGTCCTCAGGAGCTTTCTCCGCTCTGTCGCTTCCCGCTCTCTCCCCATGCCATCTTTCTCTGCGCCCGTAGACCTGCCTTCAGATCCCTGGAATCTGAGGAAACAGTTCCCTGCTCCTCCATCTTGCTGTCCCCATCTTTCTGTGCCCCAGTCCTGCCCTCCTCACATTTTGTCTTAAGCATTGCGCTCTCCCCCTCTCTCACTTTCTTTCTCCCGTCCCTGCTGTCCTTTCCCTCCCTTGACCATTCTGCACTTTCCACTGCCCTTTGCACCTGCGTCCTGTCCCCTCCCGACCTTTCCCCTTCTGGATGCTCCGCGGTTCGGGATCTGTCAGGTTCTCTCCCCTCCCAGGGCTGCCTGCCGGCCCTACCCCTGCCCTCAGGGCTGGCTGCTCTTTGCATTTTTCTTCGCCCCTCCCTCTTGGTTTTTCTAGACAGTATTTCTCTGTGTAGTCCAGGCTGGCTTCGAACTTGTGGCAGTCCTCCTGCCTCAGCTTCCCAGAGTGCTGGGATTACAGGTGTGGGCCATCGCAGCTGGCTTCCTCCTTCCCCTTGACAACCTCCCCTCTCCCCACTCTGCACTGGCCCGCTCCCTTCCCCAGATGTTCTGTTCTCTGGGAGCGCTCTGTGTGCAGATCTGGACTCCCTCTGTGGAGCCTTCCCCCCTCCAGGCCCCCAGCACACCTTCGGCTGTCAGTGCCAGCCAGGCTCTCTACTCAGGAGAGGGACATTTGAGGGGGTGGCTTCCTCCCACGCCTCCTCCTTCAGAGGGCACCTATGCATCTGGATGATTAAACATTAAGAGCAGAAATTACATCTGTATTTTCTCTCGCCCACCTCTCTCTCCTCGAGTCCCAGCCTCACTTCCTTCCCTTGAAGGGTGGGCTCCTGGGGCCCATCCTAGGGTAAAGCCTGGGCCTTCGGGCCGGGTGGGACTGGCTCCTTCCCTCCCCCACCTCGGGCTCTCTCGCTAGCAGTAGGTGCTCAAGGAATCACAAGGTTCTTGGCTCTAAATTAAGATCCAAGAAAAGCCTGGAGCTGTGGGCAGAGGAAATGAGAAGGAAGGAAGCCAGAGAAGTGAGAGTAGACGCTGGGCAGGGAGGTAACAGGGGCCCAGGAAGTTGTAGACTGGGGGCACTCAGGGGACCATGCTGGGCGCTTTCTCCCTACAAGGATGCTAAGGGGCAGTGGATCCTAGGTGACAGCGAAAGGCTGGCAGTGCGGTGTGGCCAGTGAGGGGCGGTGGCCGTACAGATGCTGGGCAGGAGCTGGGGGTGCACTAGGCAGAGTGGGTGTGTGAAGACCCCTTTCTCCCGCAGTGAAGTCTGAAAATCTGGGTCACGGCTGAGGAAGACCGCAGACCTGGAGTCCAGAATGTGGTAAGTTTAGCCCAGCAGGGGGAGCTTGGAGACCGCTTTCCGGGGGCAGGGGCCCTCCATCCTGAGGGGGCCGGGAAGCGGCCCCAGAGTCTTCCCGCCCGCAGGCCTGGCGGGGCTGGGTCTCAGCCTTCTCTCCTCCTTGCAGGCCTGCTCTGCTGCTGTCCCACCTGCTCCCTCTCTGGCCACTGCTGCTGCTGCCCCTCCCACCGCCTGCTCAGGGCTCCTCCTCCCCTCGGACCCCTCCAGCCCCGGCCCGCCCCCCATGTGCCCGGGGCGGCCCCTCGGCACCTCGGCAC